TCTTTAGACAGCATCAAAGGTGTTGTTGTCAAAACAAAGACCCTTTAATGCACAACAAAACATAAGTTGTTGTCGAGAATTTTGAATCGGGGGCCATTAATCATTGATGTTGTTTACATTTTTTGTGTTACATTTATCTTATGAAGGGCTCGGTTTTGAGTGCACTAAACATATTATGAACTATTTTGTAGGAGAAGCAAGAAGTTATTATTGAAAAGATGACTAGAAACAAGTGGAAATATATCATCACTATGAAAGGCCTATAGCTTTTTGGTAAGAAATATGTTGCGTCTTATTCTGAATTTCATATATTATGTTTCTGATGGAGTCGTCGGTGCCACATCCCAAATGTTGGTGGGGGGGCCCAATTTACGGAGTTTGCCTCGGGCCCCGAAAATCACAGGACCGGCCCTGTCTATACTCGCACCTTTTTAATCATTGCTCACCATCATTCTCTTTCTGGTTTTACGATCAAAACGTAATGTTTAAACATCTTAAAGGAGGGAAGGAATAAAAAATGGATGTACTGGTTATGGATAATCTTCTTTTTGGAAGAAATCTGACTCGACTGTATGATCTTAAAGGGTATAATCCTGATTCTAGGGGTTGCTGGATCAGAACTTAATTGAAGCAATGCCTACATCTCCTAATTTCGTTGGAAATAAAGTAAAGAGATTTTTAGAAAGAGCCGAATACGGCTTTTCTCGCTGTAAGTTTCCATCTTTCTCTGCTTCTTGTTGACACTACATTTAATGGTTTTGGTTGGATCTTGAATAATTCACGATAAGCAGAGACACTTTAAAGTTGGCACAGAATATCTTCCATGTATGCACTAAACATTAAACTTGGGATTGAACTGATTTTACGGAAAATTTAAGATCAAGATATTCTTGTTTGAGCATGTTTGGTCAAGCTTACATAAAACATGTTTGGATGGTACTTATTTTGAAAGTAACTCTAGCCATGCTTGTTTCCAACTTTGATCACTAAAGTAATTTGAGAACGATTGAACTGTTTAAGCATAGCCAAACATACTGCATCTGTGAGGGAACAATGTTGCTGTTACCTACCCATCAAATTCTCTAACATGCTTAGGGCTTCTTATTTAAGTTTTAGATTTGCCTTTCATTCATACTTACAGCGTCACCTGCAGTCGATAGATGAAGAGAAGCGTGAACTTGTTCAAGACAATAAAAATCGGACAAGCACCTCGAGACACGAGTGAGGGCATCATGCATCCTCGGTGGACCCAAAGATGATTCACCGACTGTAATTTCCCCAAAGCAATATAAAGAAAAGTCCGGGAAAGCGATGACTGCCTATTTTCTGGGGTTCCAAATCAATAGTAACCTCCTATAGTCGTGTCTAGCAAGTCTCAGATGGATCTATGTGTACAAGGTGTGACATCTGATGAGCAATATCTGTTTGCTTGTACATTCCCTCCTATGTTATCAATGTCCATGCAATTCATTTTTATGTTTTACTCAATTCTTTTGGAAGAAGCCCCTACCATTTCTCTTTTCAAATGAGAATTCAACTATAAAATTGAAATTCTCGACATCAATATGGAATACCTACCCAGAAAGATTTTGTACAATGACTTTAGTTGTTTTACTTTTAATTAAAGTTGGACAAGAATTGGAATATTTTAGTGCAATTTTTTGTGCAAAATATTTATATTTTCTATTCTTTTAATTATTTCTTATCAGATGATGGAATGTTTTTTGTGCATTCACTCTAATAGATGTAAACTAAAAGTACATATACCTGCTGTGAATTCGAGCAAGGTCAATCCCGAATTATGAGTGTGTTTGGTAGAGATTAAAATCGGATTAAAATTGAAAAACTAACCGTTATTGTTGACTTTTATTAAACGCGTGTGACCCAATAACGACTATATTTTTCATTTTAATTGGATTTTAATTCATTCCAAACAAGCTATATATGTGGTTTCTAGGAATTTGTGTATAAAAAAGATCTATAGGGTCGGCCCCGATAATTGTGGACTTTATGCAAACTTCAAATATGGGTCCCTTTGAATATTAAGACCCTATTTGATAGATATTAATATTAATTTTTTAACAGATTTTGATAAAAATTAATTGTTAACTTGACTTTAAAAAATAATTAAATACAATTAAAAAATAATTAAACATAATTAGGAAAATTGAAAGACAAATTATAAGATTTAAACTTCAGCACAAACATATAAAAAAAAGAATAATAAGTGGATTGAAAAAATCCCAAACCAAATTACATAACAAATAGAAAAGCATTAGTTTAATTAAAAGGAATACTAGCACAAAACGTCTCTACGTTTCAATTTTTTTTCATTTTCACCTCTATTTATACATTTCATTGTTAAAACGTCATCTTTATTAACTTTTTTTCAATTCCTTAATAAAAATTCATTAAATGACAAATATATACTCTTTATTTAAATAAAACAAAAATAAAGAACTAATAACAAATATAAGCCCAAAATTTTCAAATAATTACAAATAAGTCCTAAAACTAATTAAAATAATAAATTTATATTTTACTATTAATTAAAATAAAATAATAAAATAAAAAATAAAAACCCAAATCAAAAGTCATCCACCCATAACTTCTTCGCCGCCACCGCAGCACCGCTCACCGGGTATACGTACTTACATTTCGACCACCACAAACTACAAACTGTCGAGAGCTTATTTTGGGTAAAAATCAAGAACCAAACTTTGTGTATCAGCGGTGGGTGACAAACACTCTGACCGGCCCCCTCACAATAGGGGGCCCACATTTTTTGTTTTGAAATTTTTTATTCACGTGGGGCCAGCCATTATGTGAGAGTTTGTCAACTTTTTTGTCAAATAATTTTGTACAAGTAGGATTTTTCAAAAATCAACTCCAAACAACTTCCTCACCATCATTTCAACTACCACTGACTCCAAATTTGTAGTCAATCCTTGCACCAAATTTGGACGAGATGTGTTTTGTATTTTCAAATTTGATTAATTTCTTGTGTTAGCATATAATAATTCTAATTTAAAGAATTCGTAATTATAATTTTTGTTTTTCTTCAACCAGTCAATTAAACTTATATAATTTGTGGGCCTCATCAATGTGGGACCTTAGACGATTGCCTACGCCGTCTATAATCAGGGCCAGCCCTGAAGATTTATAACGAGATCAACCAAACTAATGAACTTGGACGAAATAAATGAACTTCAGCGACCTACTTGGATATAGTTTGTACTCGAAATTCGAGAAGATACAATTGGAAGAGTTGCTATGTGAACTTCCAAACTGAATGATTGTAGAAGTATATTGCCGTGTACATATGAGTGCAAGTGTAAGAGTAAGACGGATACAATCGCATATATATATGATTGCATATGTTATCAAGTCAATCTGTCAAACCCATTAAATCCCTTTGTTTTACTTGTTAAAATCAGCAGCAGCACCAACTTGATCCCAACATCTCTGAAGAAGTTCAACAATCTCAATGTCTCTGCAATTACACATCAGATAATCACTAATATACAATGAAGATAGTGGCACTGCATATGAACATGCTTCTCTTGATTGTTTAATCGTAAGATGGAATGTAAAGTAATAAAGTAAAATCAAAATCTTGTGTCTAATACTGCGTGTAGGAGAAATTCAAATTCAAGAAGGCCAGAGTTCAAGATGGTGATGTTTAATCGAGTTTAATAAACAAGAAAGAAGAAAATAAAATTGTTGGTTTGGTTTGTACCTTGAATTACAAGTAATTAAACTTGATAATTGGAGATGAAAACGAGGACCCTCGTCAAATCCTTCACATGTTATCTCCCCATTCTCATCTCTATAACATACAATACCTGCTGACAGGTCTTCGAAAACCTAAACAAAAAAATTCATCAAAACTTAAACTCGTTTTGACGTCATGAACTAAAAACATTAAACACAGCTAAAAGAAATATTAAAAAGAGAACCTTATTCTTGTAAAATGATCTGATCTGAAGAGGTTTGGTATTAATTGAGATTTGATTATGAGCCCGCATCACCTGTCTACTGGCTGCAGGCCGTCTGATTGGGATTGGAGCAGGAAAAGAGTAACTTATAGCCATTGATCCAATGATGGATTGTAAGCAAAATGAATCGATGGTGGTTTTTTCTGTGTGTTGAATATAAGTAGGAATAGAATATATATACATGCTGATCGATGATTGATTTGGCTGTATATTTTTTCTTAATTAATTAAGAGTTAATCCAAAATAATTAGAAATCTTAATGTCTTGTCACGATGTTGCATTATATATATTTTTGGTGGGGGTCCAAAGAGCTTATCTTCAACCTGTTGATATTGGTGAAAAAATGAGTCATCTTGTCGGTTGAGGGCATTATTTTGTATTTGATTAAACATCTGATGGGCCTGGAATATAGTGGTACCCTCGCTCCCACGCATAATGAGAAGGTCGATGAAAAAGAGTGCTAAGATATTTCTCAAAAATTGAACATTTCTCATTATATCACTATTATTTCCTCAATAATATCCATTAAACACACTCATAATGTGATTTGGAAATTTATATTATACGTATCGTCACTAAAAGGCATTAATTAACTATGAATAAGGATGCTTGTACAAATATATGGATCTTTTTCAGCAATCTAAAAGTATAGGAGTATGTTTGAATATTGTAGAAACCTCAAGGACCAGCATGCACCCAATATAAATTTCAGAGACTGAAATGCAACAATTAGAAATTGAAGGGGGTCTTTTGCCCAATTTTGAGGATCAATTTGCACATTACAGAAACGTAGGTTTTTAACTTGCAAATGTGCATATTGCTGAAATTTCAGGGTTTGCTCCTCCGAGCTTTGATAAGGAGTTGTTTGGCAATTGATACGAAGTCTCTATTAAACACTTCAATAGCTATCAAGTCAAAAGTTGTACCCAATTATTATTCGAGAATCAATAGAGGATCTTGTCTCCAACATTTTAGGAATTATGCAAAAGTAACGATCGAGATGGTTACAATAAATGACTACATGGATTACATGACCCATGGTGATTTTATGGTTAACAAAGGAATTACTCAGTCAATAGAAGAGTGAGCTTTATGTTATTTGTGAGTCCAATACATTTGGTGAATTTGACAGGGCCTGAACTGTTCCAATGGATATGGGATATACTGGGCTTGGGCCATTCTATCTTTGGTTAATGGGTGTCTATGATGGGCTAAAACACAAAAGAGTCCCACTCAATATGTCGTGATGGACTGACCAATCGAATCGCTTCAATTAGCTCTCCGTGTTTTCAATTGTATTACGAGTAATTTCTTAAAATATTTTATTGACCTCGTGAAATGAAATTAAGCATAATTAATCAACACATACGGTTTAGTCACAAGTAATGCTGATTCTGCATTTCATTTAGCCAATTATTTAACTTCACCTAAATTGGAGTTGTAAAATCAATGAGACTACGTAGCATTACTCTTTAGTCACACCGCTGAACAACTAACAAATCACTATCCTAAATGGCAGTCACTATTAAGCACATGCCCACAGTTTTATAGAAGTCGCAATTTTGGCGTCTTTCATGAATTCAGTTGTACTTTTTTTTTTTTTAAATAATGAGACAGTGTATATAAGAGGTGAGATGATTTAAATTAACAACAAAATATGATAAAAATAAATTTCAAGACTTCAAGTTCAGTGTGCTGGTGATTAAAATGCATTCAAGAGAAACGTTACATATATACAATTTGATATTTTTCTACAACGAGATAGATTGACACTTTTTAAAGTCGAAGCTATTCACTTTCGAATACCAGAAAATTAATTGAAAGAATGAGAGTTAAGTTGAGTTTGGAAGAACAAAAGAAAATTTAGGAGTATACAAGAGTAGAAGACAGATTAGGACATGCTCTCATGTTGCAAAACTTGATGTAATATAATCAATTGACATGGGTCGAAAAGAATAAAATAAGAATCGCCTAAATTTCAAAAGAACATTTTCAAAAATATTAAGGTTTGCGTCTTAGAACTCTTATCCATGTGTTGATTATTCTCGACTTCTTGTCTCTTTCTTCCTTTAATTCATGAACCACTATTTGATCTTTCTAATATTTTCATCCTTGGAACGCTTCTACATCATTTATCACTAGTTTCTATATACATTACTCTTTTCTAATATATAAAGTTGAAGTTAGTTATTTGTATTTGTGCATGAAAATATAAATGGAAAGAATAAGAGTTCACGAAAGTTTGAAAGAGTAAAAGACAAATTAGAACATGCTTGCACACAAAACGTGTTAGGCAAGTCAATGTAATGTAAATCAATTTATGTTCATTGAAAAGATGGAGGAATAAAAATAGTAAAGTTTGCGGCTTATAAGAATCTAACAAATTGATTGGTATTGTGCCATTTTTCTTACATGTACCAATCTTAAATGACTGCTTTATACTAGATTGGTTAATGAGGAAAATAGTGACATTTTCAAAGGTAAAAGAAAAAGAAAATGCAATTATTCTCATCATTAATCAAGATGTTGTTGGATGTAGACATGAGGAGAATCCAACAACTTGAGCTCTATTCATGACATATCTCAATTATTGCCCCTCTCCTAGCTCTTATCTCACTAAAATAAGAGAGAGAAAGAAATTTAATGGTGTCTCTTTCTATCTTTTGAACACATTGGCAAAATTACTCATTGCCCTCTACCTTTAAAAAGACCTCAAACAGTTGCATGATCATAGGAATTCAAATTTAGAAACATAAATTAATTTCAATGTTGCATTAAAAGTCCAATTCTCAATTAATGGATGTACACAGAGAGAGAAAGTCCCATCACCATGAATAGCATTAATCCAATGTATCTATATTTTCTTTTGTATATATTATTATAATTTAGAACACTATTGTGTTGGCATTAAAGGCAGGTCAACATGTATGTTGTGATAAGCCCGTTGACCTATAAACACGCAAATTGCCCAATCAAATGCTGCAGGATAAACACGTTGCGCATCCGTCGGCTAAAGAAAGTTTCCTCTTCTCACGTCATCTATCCTTCCTTCCTTCCTTTGTTTGGTAATTTTTCATTAAAAAAATATTAACAAAATTTTGAAATTTTACTTCCCGGCCCACTAAAATATTATTTTTTAAGCATATTGATAAATAGCCCATATTCGATAAGAATTAAAATCTTAATAAAAGTCAAAAATTAATTTTAGCTTTCACAACACATTTTCATCAATTTTTTTTTTCAAAATCTAATTTTAATTCCCACATAACAGGAATATAATAGTTTATCGTTCCCTTTTTTTTTTTTTTAACTTTATTATTGAAATTTTTTTAAAAACTATTCTTGTCGTTGAATTAATTTAATGAAAACCATGAGCGCCAAGCTATCTACTTTGTTTTAAGTAATTACGAAAGTGATTTTTGGACAATTTCTATCCATAAGGGCTATTTGAAAAAAATCTAAAAAGATAAAGATTCTAAGTTGAGATGAAGTGCAATTTTGAAAACTTGCAAAAAATTCCACGCTGATCATTGACGGATCCATTTCATTAATGAAAAGTCTTATTTTGTTAGATGGAAAATCCTGAATAATGTAGCAGTGAATACTTTTTTGTCTTAGGTTGGAATGAATAAAATTGATCTCACACCAAACAAAAATGAACTCAACTGAGTATACGTAATCGTTGACAAATAATGAATTTGGTGAGTATCATAGAACGAGAAATAAACTTTAAATTAAATATTATAAATTCTAATGTAAGTAACAAAAGAGATGATTTTAATTATTCTAAATTATCTACTAATTACCTAAGACGACTTTAAACTAAAAGATGGAATGTATGTGTTAGAATTCCGAATCCACCTATTATTATGATTCTATTTTTAATTCTCAATCTTGTATTATAATGAGCAAATATTAAGAACCTTAATTGATAAAAATTTTGTGGTGAGAATATTTTGTTTGTGTTCAAATATATTCATAAATAGCCAAGACTTGAATATTATACTGTAACCAGCTGGCATATTATTGGTGGCCAAATTTAAATAACACACGCATTTTCTCTTTCTCCATATTTTACATTTCATCAGCAAGACTAATTACTCGTCCGACGTGTCACGACATGTAATAAATTATAATATATTTACGTGTTCAATCATTAACAACTAGAACTTGTTTCATCCGAGTAATGAACTATTTGATTTTTCAACGCATAATTAAACAATTTGATTCTTAACGCGTAAGTATAAATATTATTAAAAAATATCGGCTACAGTCTTCGTCTAAAGTCAAAGTCAAAATCAAAATTAGAATTGAATTCAAATAACGTTGACCTTAAAATCAAAATGAAGTGTGGCGAAAATGTTTCATGATACCATAACTACATAGCTCGGGCATTTTCTATTGCTCGAGTCTTTTAATTATTATCATTATCTTTCCTATGTCTTATTCAGAGAACGAATCACCTAAAAAGGCAACGAAACATTGCGTGTAAGAGTGAATGAAGCGAATGCAACAAAAAACATCGGATTCATGGATTCTCAACTTTGGCAACATACTGAAATGACATTCCCAATAGATGCTCGATGTACGCACTTATTAGTAGATAGAGATGTTAAATTTGGTGAATCAAATTCAGAACAAATGGCGTAATTCAAATGGCGCAATTCAAATATTTAGCAAATTATCCTACTGAGGACTGATATGGAATGGGTACTCAAAAAGATTACGAAACAAAAAGTGCGAGATTGAAAGAAGCGAAATTAATAAATGACCACATGTCCAAATATTCCCAGATGAGGCATTATGTTGAAATCGAGACTCAACTAATGTCATGTGGTGAATTAATTACAGAATATAGTATACTAAAGAACACCAATTTTTTTTATTTTTTTTGGTAACTCTTCATTTTCAGTGCCTCATTGCAACAAATTAATATCTAAATTTCAACCCTATATTTATTTTAGTGTACCCTGTAGAAAAATATTTAATAATGCAGTGCAATATTGAAAACTTTAAATTTTTATCATTTTCTGTGTTATATCATATCCATGACTCCTACTAATTTTATTACATAAAAAGGTAATCGTACCTCTTTT